TATTTCTGTCTTCTTTCCCATCATGAGCTTTAAAGAGCAGTTGTCGTTGAGCTAAAATCACACGATTTTGCTTGTAAAGTCAGAAACATTCCAAAATGTAGAGATTTTAGTGTTTAAAGGGGAATAGAATAGATGAAAGGCTGTCAGGCTTTCAGTATTCAGTATGCATCAAGCTCAAAACTCCTGCACCCTGAGGCGACCTGATGGCTGAACACCTAAATCAGCTGAGTCAGTCGCCTGCCAACTCCCCTAACCCTCCCAGTTCATTTCATGGATTTTCCTGGGGAAAAAAAAATAAAAATCATATGAAAACTTCTATATGTTCACAGAATCCTGCAAAAAAAATCTACCCTAAAAACTTTTTTTCGTATGAACTGTAGTAGTTGGATCCTCTGTGCTGAAGTTGATCCTGTTTTGCAATTCCTCCTACGCCTCACGAATGACTTTTTTTCACAGGATTGAATTTAGTTTTGTGCTGAACAACCAAAAAACCCTGAGAATTTTCAACTAAACAGCTGTTGCTGAATGTTCTACATATATATCAAGTTGATAACAAATTTTCACACGAAAAATCTGTAATTTCAAGAAAATAATATCTTCATAATTTTTCCCTTTCTTCCAGCCAAATGCTGATTCTATGTGGTATTATTGTATTTATTTATTATATAATGGAAGTTATGTTTCCTCAAAACATTTTTATTGGAAAGGGTTAATATGAACTGCAGATATAAAAGAAAATGAAGGATGTTTTATTACTCCTTTATTATTTAAGCATTTTTAGAATTACATTTTTTTTTTAAAAACTTTTTACTTTCTGTACATTCAGTTGTTTATTTCATAGGTTGGCATTTCTACTATGTTGACTTTGAGGTTTTTACTTGTCTGTGTGAAACCTGCTGTTTTCACTGAGTTCATGAAATATAAAAGGTACAGCTTGACTGGGTTTGTTGTTTCCTATACTGACTGACTTGTTCTGTATAGGAAACTGTAAACTGTAAAATTATTCATCTCAGTTCTTTAGTTTGATAAACATACACTATTTCGCAATTTCAAACTTCATCATCAACCAGGAGAACGTGACATACAACTAACTTGGAGAGAACAGTCTTCCGCCAAGGCCAGTGTTCTATGCGATCTCGATCCACACCCAAATTTAATGTGATCTTCCTGTTGTGTCTTACGGAAGCCGAGAGTGGTCATGGCCGCACATTTTTTTAAACGCTATTTTCTTGAGATAACGAGATAATTATCCCGTTGACAGTTTCAGCAGTCACTTCAGCCTTCATCAGAAGTTGTCGGACTTCCTGGTGTGACGTATCTTATACAGACAGCTGACCCGGAACTCCAACATGACGTGTCATGAGAACAGCTGACCGGGCACGACAACTTACAATGAAGTGCTCGTGCTCGGTCTCGTCTGTCCTCTGGCCCCCCGCTGATGACTGAGGATGGAATCCCAGGTGTGTTAGAGGTCCCACACACCTGGGATTACATCCTGGACCGGGCACAAGCGGGCAAACAAAACGCCAATTATCTCGTTTTCACGAGAAAACGATTCTTGTTGACCCGAGATAACGAGAAAATTAACTCGTTATCTCGAGAAAACGGCGAAGAAAGAACAGTAGCGGAAAACGACCGCTCTCGGCTTCCATAGTTTCTTGAACGTTTCACAAAAATTGATAGTTGTTGCATAATCTTGCGGATAAACAGCGCTAACACATACCTCCACCCTGACTCTGATCTTGGTGGAGGACAAGTAAAACTCTTGGTTTGTTATTCTATCTTTGTTTTACTTAAAAACTACAGGTGAATTTTGTGAAACTTGCTGACAAGGTGGAACAGATCGGGGCCAGTTTTCTTAAAACTGCAGTGCAGCGTGTTGGGCTTGGTGGAAGACTGTGACTCCATCTGGGAGGTGTAAAACGAAGAGACAGCATCAGGAATTGCCCAATCATAGTTCGAAAAACGAAAACAAGAACAACTGACTGCTCGCTTAAGTGAGTATTCCTGGTTCAGAAAGCTGTGTCCCATTAAAACCTTGAATCACTTTGTCAGGGAGCAGCCTCAGGTCATCTGCTTCCCAAAAGTTCTCAAAAGGACTCACATATACACTCATTTGGCATTCAGCGTCCCGCACACAGAATGAATACGTATTCACACTGAAACGAACCACATACAATTTGAAACTCACTGTTAATAAACCCTGACTTGCCGGTCAGCTGCATAGAATGACTGAACATCTTTTATTTCTCTTTTTTCTTTTTTTTGCAATATAGAATTCATTTGTGTTTAACATGAAGCCTTTCTTTTCAGGATAATTAAAGAGCCTCAGAGTCACATATTAATCAGCTGCCACTGATCTTTTTTGTGCTGTCTGAATAAAGGCTAAATGCAAAAAAAATATTTAGAAAAAAATAATACTTTGGACTCTAAACTTCACATAATATTCTTTCATTAGACCACCATTGTGTCCTTCCAAACCCCAACACCTTCTGTCTGAGACACACACTTTCTATTCAAAGAGTGACGTTTCACGCCAGGATTATTTTTTACATTATTGATAAACTCCCCACAGAAGTACAGTAGACTTTTTTTCCTAGCCGAGGAGTACTACTGCTACATACGTAGAATCTGTGCAATGCCTTCTTTAACATGAAATCTTCTCAGAAAGTAACCATTCAAAAGTCGTGTTGTGTTGTGTGTATCTGCTGTGAAGCTAGCAGCAAAAGCAATTTATTCCAACGTGAACCACTACCAAGGCATTTGTATTAAAGCAACTGCTGCAATGCTACGGCAAGCTGATGTTTGTTATACTTCAGCAATACAGAAGGCTTGAAGATCTACATCATACAGGTTGGAAGGTGTTTACCTGTGAAAAAAAAGCTAAATATGAATCCAGCCCAGCTGCTTCTGAAGCAAAGCTGGGAGATTACAGTGCTGGATGGAGGCGCTGTATCACCAAGTGAGATTAGCTGAGAAGTGTTGATAACACTTTATCATCTGTGTGACTGTGGTTGAAAATAACCAGATGTGACTTTTAGTGTTGCACAGGGTGGATAGTATTTACACTTTCATTCCATTATTACAGTCACATATAACCTCATTTCAAAGGCCTACTTTTACCACTTCTTCTGTTGTGGTCCTGGTGGTAGTAGTGTTTTGGATTTTGTATGACTGGTGTTATTTCTAAAGCTTCTCGTTCTGTTCCAATCGTGTAGTTTACTGCATTTCTTTCTTACTGACAGAACCTGCCTTTCTCTCAGCTACCTACAGTTTCTTAGAGCTCACATTCTGTGCTTGATCTGTTGACATTACAAGATTGTCTTGTAATTATAATGACTACCATGTCTGTCACCTGAAGACTCTCGCAGCTCAAGAACAAACAGTGGCCAGAGTGGGCTGATTAGAACTTTTTGGACGTTGATTTATCCAGAATCCCCAGCATCGGCCTCGACCATCCAACATGCACACCCACCTCACGCAGTAATTGGCATAAATGTGCAAAGGTGTGAAAGTAAGCAGGGTTTGACCTTCTCTCCTCTCTCTCTCTCTCTCTCTCTCTCTCTCTCTTTACATTACACAACACTGCTGCTATTGGTGCATATAAGGAATCTTGGCAGAATGTCTTGCAGGAGAAGCTGCACATCTACCTCGTCCAATTATAAACACTTGTGTGCCATGTGAGCTACTGTTACTTCAGCTTTATTTTGTGATACGGTCTCCATCTGAAGATCCCAGCAGCCACTGGGGTTACAGAGGAGTTACTGGCATTAGACAATGAACCCAGGCCCAGAAACTACTGACCGCAACGTTGCTTATAATTACTTTCCTATGAATAGAAAGGACTTGCTGGTGTTGTGGCACAATAGTTTGGGATTCTGAAAATGACATCTCTATTTGTATTTTGTGCTCCTTGAAAGTTTTAAAGGTTGTATATTATTTTGATAGAGGTTGTTTATTGTGCACACTGGCGGAAGTTGAGGTAGTTGACCAATACCTTTTAGTGTGAGTCACTTTAACATTTTGTTTCAGAGGAGTGCTCACACAGACATTTGTAGATTTGCAAGGAGGTAGATTTTTGACTGTTCTTTGAAGGCACAATGTTTCAGTGACTGCTGGATGTCGTACAATAGCCATCCTATACCTTTGCTATCGAGGCTTAGCTAGTATAATACTGTATTACACTGAACAGAATAACTGAAGAAAAGAAATCCAGGGTTAACAGTTGTGATGCAGTGGTCAAACTAGAAACTAGACGTCCTGTGAGATGTTATCCTTCTTTGGTGATGTGATTTCTGCTATAAGATCTTGCACATATACATTTAGACTTTAGAGAAAGGAACAGTAAATTGATAGAAAAACAGATGGCTATCTCAGTTGACCTGACTCCAGTGCAGCATTAAGTCACCTTTGATGATGTACTTTTGTCCCATTTCATGTTATCTATGGAGAAGATTTAAGAAGTGTGCTTATTTCTAATATAAATACTTTTTTTTCATTTGTTGTTTCATTCTTTTTTTTTAAAGACATTAGCTAAATGTGAGACAAACACCATTACGTGTATGTTATTCTATCCTCCCTTGTTGACTAAGTGGTGTTTACATTAGTAAGTGCTGCAGTGGTGAGATGGTTTCAGTTCTGTTCACTTAAGAATCAAAATTTCCATATATAAGTTGAACTGTTCACTCTTTAGACTTTAAAGACATAAATTTCGCATCAGTCAGTTTTCTTGGTCTGCCATTATATTTGATTCATGATTGTTTTTTGAGACAGAGACTGGTGAGTCCATCTTTCCAACTCCCCAGCTCATGATAGAGTAGCCAAAGTAATGTACCCAAGAGTTCTAGTCAACCAAATAAAAGGCTGGTTGACTGAAATCGTACCTTCTCTTCAACCACTTGATGGGTCCGGAGGGGGAGAGGAGAATCTCTACATCATTTCTAGATTAACTAGCTGTAGTATGGCTTTGTTTGGTTCATATCTTGTTTGCAATGTGAATCTCAGTTATCCCATGCCTGATACACTGACACTGCCATTGAACTAACCTTTTCTGATGCGTCTCTATCACTGTTCTTCTTGCAAACAGCTGCCATTTCTAGCCCTTGATCCGAAAGTCTGCTCCCTGAGTGCACCTCCCCACACCCCACCCTCGCATTCCTATTCTTCTCAGCTGCATTACTCAACTTGTTGTCATTATGAACTCGATTTCTCAGTCCCAACACAAAGTGGTTGTGATTCGTAGCATCTCTGAAATCACCACATTCACAAGGTGCTTGCACAGACCTTCCACTCTTCCCCCACTTGGCCACTCTGCTCCACAGCTGGCAACACATGAGGCAACAAAAGGGCCTGGACTTGCACACCGCCTGGAAGCCCCTCTTAAAGTTCTCGTTGTAGTAGCCATAGATGATGGGGTTGACGCTGGAGTTGGAGAAAGCCAACCAGTGGGCAAAGGGGAAGACGTAGCTGGCCAGAAGGTCCACCTGTTCCCTGTCCAAGCCTGCATAGTCTGTCATCATCATGAGGGTCCAGAGTGGCAACCAGGACAGCATGAAAAGCAAAGCCACTACAATGAGCATCTTTATCACCCTGATCTTTTTTTGTGAAATCATCGGCTGACCACGTCTTCTGCCTCCTGCCTGGACTGCAGCATTGGCAAGCTGCGGCTCTCTGTTTGCGACCACAGAGGAACACAGTTTGACTCCGATGCTTCCATACATCAGTGTGATTACTGTGAGGGGAACCAGGTAGATGTGAGCGAGGAGAACCGCTGTGTAGACCTTCCTCATCTGAGGGTTGGCAAAGTTTTCGTAGCATGTGTACAGAGGCAAGGTTTGATTAAAGTCATCATTGTACACCATGTAATGGAAAGGGACTTTCTCCACTGTCAGCGCCACTGCAGCGGGACACATGATGACCACTGCTAACACCCAGATTGACACGATGGCTGCCTTGGCAACAAACAGAGTCAGCTTAGGTTGTAGAGGGTACACTATACAGCGAAACCTGTAGCCAACAAGTAAAGAAGAGCATTGCCACCAATTAGTCATTAGAGAAAAACACCAAACATAAATCAAAGAATAAAACTAAAGATTCAACTAAGGACACATAATTCCCAATATTCTGTTTAGCAAGTACTCAAAAAATGGCTAGCGTAAAACAGGAATACTTAAGGACAAGCTGTAATCACCCAGTGTTTGGTATTTGTGGTAAACATGGGTGCGGACACTACCAATAGCAATGTTGATCAGTTGGACCGGGAACCATTTTGGGTTGCAACTGTTTATTGCCTATATATTCATCATCCTCAAAGGATAAATTCTACTTTAGTGATGCCCTTGAGGATGGCTTTTGTGGTTTGGATAGACATATCTCAATAACTATTTGATGGTTTGGCAAGGAATATGGCAACAATATCTACACCGATCAGCCACAATATTAAACCCACTGTCAGGTGAAGTCAATGACATCTCATTACAATACACTCATCTGCTGGGAAACATTGGGTCCTGCCATTCATGTGGGTGTTACTTTGACATGTACCACCAACCTATACATTTTTTCAGACTGAAAGCATCCCCCTTCCATGGCAGTGGTGTTCCCAGCTCCCCCCAGCAGGACAATGAGCCCTGCTCAGAAATGTCTCGAGGAGCATGGTAAAGAGCCCTTTGTTGACCCAAAAACCAACTGAGCATCCATGGAATGTGCCAGAAAGAAACCCAATCCACTGAGACCCTACCCTGCAACACCTTGTGCCAGACACCACAGGACAGCTGTGTCCATGCTCAATGTTTCAGAGCTGTTGTGGAGTCAGACCTGCAAATATTAGGCAGAGGGTTTTAGTGTCATGGCTAATCGGTATATGTTGCCCTCATAACTGAATAATAATAACGTTTTTGGGCTCCTAACTTTTCATCATCAGCTCAGAATTTCCATTTGTCCAACCCTTTGGTTCATGTCCAAATACTTAAAACTGATAACATTCATAGCAACCTCAGCTGTGCTTTGTGCCAATAAATGTTTTTGTTAAATCAGGATGGTGAACAGGGAGAACATTGCGCCAGCATGGTAGGATTGTCCTTATGAGCATGCTTGTACGCTGATGTTAACTTTTAGCAGAGCTGTGCCTTAATACTGTACAGCTTCACAGAGTCACAAGCAGACGAAGGTTCTTGTTGCTTCACAAGTTCACAATCAGGTGTGAAACCACAACATAAACTAACCTTTCCACAGCAATGGCCACCAGAGTGAAGACGGATGCAGACACAGACACGCCCTGCACGAAGCCACTCATCTTGCAGACGGTATTGGAAAACGGCCAACCTGTTGAAAAAACGACAACCTGTGATAACTAGTTTGCCAGGAAAGCCCAATTAAAGGAAAAACTACAAAGAAGGACGTTCCACATTATTATGCAGACCACCTTTTTTAAGCAATATGGGAAAGGAAAATGATCTCTCTGCTGCCGAAAAATGTGAAATAGTTGACTTCTTTGGACAAGGTATGAAAACCTTAATATTTCACCAAAAACAAAAAAGTTACTTGACCTATTAAGATGTTTCTGATTGAAAAGCTTTTGATTTCAGTAATTATGACCTCCTAATGCTGCAAATTCAACAAATGACCATTTTCAGTTCTTTACAACCTATAAAATGTTTTGGAATTCTGTTGTGCGTAATAATTTGGAACAGTGCATTTTAAGTTTTTTTATTTTTGAAAAAAATACTGTTATCATTGGGAGGTTTGTTCAACAACATTCGAATTATACTCTAACGGATGATAACTTGAACATAATGCTGACTGTCATTTGCATTGACTATTTAGGAAAATCAAAGAAAAATATCATTTTCATAATAAATTGGAACTCGGTGTATACATTTGCAGACACACTTGTTTTCAACACTTGTAATGTTCGACAGTTGAAGGTACGTCATGGTGTCTATCTTGGTTGCTGAACATAATGGGGGCACAAATTTAGATGTGACAGTTAGGACACGTCCTTTCAAATCTTTCTTCCTTCTATGATGATTGCTTCATCTTCCCTGTCACTCCATAAAGGAAGGCTTCAAAACACAACTGACAGGATCAGTATAGCCTCTCATTTTCTTTTTTCACAAGAAAAAGCAAATAGCTTGAATGGAGCATGATGGGATCGTTTGCTGAGAAATAGTGCAGTGAGAAAGATTGAAGGATTGACACTGACCTCAGGGTGACGAAAAATTGCAGCTCAACAGGCAAAAATCTCCTACAGTACATTCACGGTTCTACTACACAGGAACATTCAGAGGAAGCCGGAGGTGGTGAATGCCTCAGAATGATTGCTGATTACAACAGCCACCCAAAAGTACAGTGCACAGTAATATTGATGTTCCAGTGCAGACTTCCATTTCTGCAGGAACTTGGAAAATAGCAGGACACATTCCTAAGCTTTAACAGAGTTGCATGATTTCCTGAAAATAGAAATCGCCCAGGTGGGAGTGTGAATCCATGTGTAACAGTGTGGTAATAAAATTACAATATGTTACAAGTTAACAAGCTAGGAATGTAAAAATAAAAATAAAGGAACACCTGAATGTTTGAGAAAAGTTGGTAGAAGCAGAATTAAGTAGGAGTAAAGACATCTCAGTAGAGTGAAATTCTCATAATACCTCATAATGAAAAATGAACAAATCATTTGTGCGAATAATTTTACTCACGTCTGGTGTGAACACAGGGTTAGAGTTGTTTACCTTTAGACAAACTTGTTGTTCTACAGAAGAAAAGTAATGTGTGTGTGTGTGTGTGTGTGTGTGTGTGTGTGTGTGTTTCAAAGCTCATTCAAGGTTTTACACTGACAAAAGAATCCTAATGGTGCAGGTAGCAGAAGAGCTGCAAGAAGCAAATTAAGACTTATTGTGTGCTAAAATGTTGAATTCAATGATTAAACACAGAAGTAAGAGTGCTAATGAAAAACTTTTAGATAATAAGTGACAGTAACTCATACATCCTTGACAGTGTGGTTTGAAAAGCTACACGGCTCAGTGTTAGTTTGTAATTTTAGTTTATTTAAGGATGATTTTACCTTTTTAAAATGTCTTTGCGAATGATTATGGGGGCTTTTCATGTTTAGAGTATGCACAGCTAACTATGTGCATTTCAAACATGTTACATGTAATGTACTTGTTCTACCTTCGAGCCAAAGATTGGTCACCAGTTACTTCCATGTGCACCGATCAGCCACAACATGCTGTCAAAACAGTTCCAACCCACTGGGCCATGGACAGCAGAACCATGTTGTGTCCGGTACCAGGACATTGGCAGTGGATCCTTTAGATCCTGTAGGTTGGGACTTTTGTGGATTGTGGTGTGTTCCAGCACTTCTGGTGGATGCTCTATTGGATTAGGATCTGGGGAGTTTGGAGGTCAGCATCTTGGGCTCTTGTCGTTCCTGGAAGTTACTGGAAGGTTGCATTGTCATGCTGGGGAAGGACGCAGGCTTTGGACTGTGCTCAGTCTGTAGCAATGCTTAGGAAAGTGGTATGCGTCAAAGCAACTTCCACATGAATGCCAGGATCCAACGTTTCCCAGCAGATGAGTATGCGGGAATAGATGTCACTGACTTCACCTGTCATTGGTTTTAATGTTGTGGCTGATCGTTATGTTATGAAACTTAAGAAACAAACTATGGAAACATGCATTTGAGCTGGATCATCATGCAAACTGTTAATGACACAAACTTCATGAATTTACAATTTCAAGAGTCTGATGATTGATTTTTATATGAAAATGAACAAAAACAGCGTCTCCCTACAAGGAAGGAACCATGCATTTAAAATCTAATCACACAAAAGAACATGCATTGTGCAGTGAAGAATATATTGTTTATATGTACATCCATTTAATTCATTGCTGGTCTCTGACATACAAATCTGCTGCTTCCCTTTGAACCTTTTCGTCTAGCCCATTTCCCCCTGAATTAATTTATTTGATGAGGTGAGACTCAGTGAAGTTGTTACTGGACCGGAAAAAGCTGCTGTGGTCACTGTTTAATGATGCCTTATCAGAATCATCAGTAGGAGACAAAGCGGTCTGTACAAAACAGTGTCTCATAGTGTTTGTTTAAATAAAAATCAGACAGACTCCCTTCCGTCTGGGAGTGCACTCATTCCATCCATGATAGTACATCTATTATTCAGACCTGCATTGAGACGCAACAGTGGGACTGAGTTAAATGCAAATGAGTAGGCTGCAAGAACAATGCATTCCCTGTTTCTCTACTTGTATATGTGGTCATGACAAACTTATGACTACGAGTATATGCATCGAATGGTACTTATAGCTTACAGTATGTAGGTCACATGAACAAGTGCAATCCCACACAAGGTGATGATTTATCATCTCAGCTCATTATATCACGAATCCTACACATTTTAACAACCCTCCTCCAGTGAAAACCTTTTTTTTTTTTTTTGCTTCGTTAACGTGCCCATATGGTGTTTTTTTGCGAGGAGACATGTCATGAGTGAAATCAGCAGTCAACACCTGAGTTGCTAAACATTTGCACCTTGAAGCTTCTTGGTACCAATGATAGTCTCCGAAATAAATGTAGACTTCCAGGGTTTCATATGTCCTACACTTAGGGCTACACTTAGAGACAGACAACCAAGCACACTCACATTCACACAATTTAAAATCCCCAATTAACCTCAACATGTTTTTGGACTTGTGGGAGGAAGACAGAACCCAATTAACATGCAAACACCACGCAGAAAGATCCTGGACACCCTAACTGGGACATGAACCGCCGACCTTCTAGCTGCAGGGCGACGTTATTAACCACCGAGCCACTATGCAGACCAGTTTCATATATAACAAACCTAAAGAACCAAACCTGTTAGCTTGCAGGTTGGAGTTTACCATTCTTCTTCTTCAGGGAAGAGAGGGACTTTAACAACTGTGCCATTCAAAGTTGTGCATAAAGCAAACAAACTTATCATTATTAGTATAAAGTCACCACACACACACACACACACACACACACAAAATCAGGATCTGCCACCCAGATGCCCAATCTGCCATCAAAGCGACAGCGTTTTGAGTTGCCAAGCCACAAAACATGCAAACACCAATTTAAGTTAATTATGCAATAATTTGAAGGTTAATGACTTCACCAAAGAGCTGCTGCTGGTTGAGAATTTTACTATTTTATCTAATCATGCTGGGCTGCAAGGTGACGCAGTTGGTAGCATTGTTGCCTCGCAGCAAGAGGGTCGCCGGTTCACATCCTGGTGGGGGCACTGGGATCTTTCTGCGTGGAGTTTGCATGTTCTCCCTGTGCAGTGTGGGTTCTCTCCGGGTTCTCCGGCTTCCTCCCACAAGGTCCAAAAACATGTTGAGGTTAATTGGCGATTCTAAATTGTCCGTAGGTGTGAATGTGAGTGAGCTGGTTGTCTGTCTCTAAGTGTAGCCCTGTGATAGACTGGTGACCTGTCCAGGGTGTCCCCTGTCTTCACCCTGAGTCAGCTGGGATAGGGTCCAGCCCCCCCGCGACCCTAGTGAGGATTAAGCGGTGTATAGATAAAGGATGGATGGATTCAATCATGCTGAGGTTAAAAAGAAAACAACAGATTCTCACATGATCTTTTGGAGTATTACTGTGCAGTACTGACTGTAGGACATTCTAGAAAAGATCAAGGAGAATAAACCTGTTATACTCCTAATGTTCAGCTATTAGTCTGTAAATATACAAGGCTTTGCAAATTTATCAGAACACCTGTCTACTTTTTTAAGCACTATTTATATACATATAGACCATCCAGCATCATAAAGTGCTTTAATGCAAACTCAGCTCACAAAGTTTTACCATGTGGAACAGGAATGAGGAATTTCAAACTGAATTCATCTTTATCTTATACCCCAATTTGAGCCACTGGGCTTCTCTGAGAAGTCAGAAATGAATCAAGCATAACATTCAACCAATGAAACTTTTTTTTTCAGTTCAGGAATGCAGTTAAATAACTATAATTTGACAATTTAATAAAGAAATAATAATGTGCTTTACCATTTTTTTCAGTTTTTTTTTGTAGAACAGTATATTTAAAAATTCATGGATAACAATAATAACTATATTTCAGATGGGACACTTTGTCAGATTTACCTATTTAGAATGACATGCATTTGTGCTTGGCGGTGACTCTGCTCGAGTGATGCTCTGGAACAATCTGAGCAAGCCTGACACAAACAGTCCCTGAGATCCCAAACCCCCTGGCAGAGCCTTTATGTTCAAATGAACACAGTATGAACACAAAAACAACTTAAATAGCGCGCACTTTGCAAAATCCAGT